GGTTAAACAGCTTCACATCACAGAGAATGGCAGTACCAGACAGATATGTCTACTTAGATAATGGTTTGCTCATTAGGAGCAACAAATAGCCTCAAAACATCAATGGGTCTTCTGAGGCAACAAGGTTCTCTTGATACATATTCTTTTAATATTCAGAACCTCATTTTCAATATTTAACAACTGAACGAGAATTAGGAGTCCTTGCCCTAACACAGGACCTCTGGAACTGCTGGCATAGAAACATCTCACAAATTCCATGTTTAAGGTCTGATATCTCAGCTATGTCAAAACTGCAGTGGGAAATAATCTGAGGAAAAATTTACTAGTAAAAAAAGCATTTTTGTAATGATTTTTTTAAATGTGGCTTGGCACCACTTAAACCGACTTTCAGTATAAAGTGAAATTCTGCCGTCATTAAACACGGAAAACCTGAGTTTCAAAAGTACTATAATGTCTAGCTGATCACCATTGGATCAGACAAAGCTCCTGCTTAAGGAAATCAAGTTCATTTCTGATTATCTTTTATCTTTCACCAACGTGAAATGCACTATTTAGACTATCTAGCAGAAAACAAAATTCTTGAGAGAGAGAAAGGTTTTCTGAACAAGTCACAGTTGTTACCTGGGCATCACTGACAAGATGTGTGCATGGATGCTCCACGTGCACCCTGCCCTTAGAAATTCACTGATTCTCTTCTGTCGTTATAATCATGTGGCTTCCAGAACTGCATCCTTCCATCCGTTAACATAGTTTCATGGCATACCATCAGCCCTCTCTCCTCCCCACAAAAGCCCTGCTCAAAGCTGTAAAAAACTCTGGACTGTTCCTTTATTTTTTGAGCAATTCTGCCATGTCACGCAGTGAATCTGTGGTTCAGGTTAAACAATGTGGACATGGAAACAGAAAATGCCAAATATCTATCTAAAGGCATAACAAAACAAATAGAAATAAAAAGCAAATATGCTTTTAAGCATCAACTTCAGAATTGGGTTTCAGGTTTCTCCATTAAACTGATGCCTGAGAGCACCAGTAGCCTATGAAATTTCCAGGGGTTTTCAACACAGTTCTTTGGAACAAACAGCACAATAACTGATTATTCAGTCTCCTGCTCTCCTCCTAACCCTTCAGTCCCCTTCCCCTCCTTTCAGTCAACTTTGAGACATATACAACAAAAAATTAAAAAAAAAAGCTTTGACTGTGAACTCTTTAGGCAGGGTTTTATACAGGGTTATGTGAAGCCATTGGCAAAACTGTGGCTGATTCCATAAGCAGCATCATGAGGTCTCAGTGGTGAAAACCTGCCACTGATGAAGTCAATGACAAACCTTCCACTGACTTCTGGGAATGTGAATCTCCGTAGCTATGAATTTGACTTCATGCCTATGCTACATAAAATAATTCTGATAAAAAAAAAACAGGTTGCTTCATCTGCCTTTTCCAAGCATCAAAGGCTATTTCTATGATACATAGACAATATGGAGCAGTAGGAGAAAAAAAGGCTGGTGCTGAGAATATAAGGTCCACACCGCACACCTTTAAGAGGTTTTCACTTCGCTCTAGCCTAGTCCTATGGGTTGAATGCCTACTGGATCCCATTTTGTTTCCCTCAAAAGGAATCCAGTCCATAAGCTCTGGGACTGCTCCACATGCATACTGTTAGCGGGGACAATTAGGAGATTCATTTCCACAGCACAGTCCTGATTTGACCTAATACACTAACTAGAAGCATCCAAAGAGCTTAGAAGATGCTCCCGCATTAAAACCTCTAAAATTAAGGAGTACCAAGGTCATAAAGAGGTTTACGTCCCTCTCAGTTAATATGACTCACAGCCTTCAATGTGCTTCACACACGTGCAGCAACCTACAGTGAAGACAAGTCCTACAGCAGCCGGCACTGTGTTTCTGATTCCAAACATGTTCATTTCCAACCTGCGTGATCCTTGTTATCTTCAGGATTCTTATTCAGACGGGTCTCCACACTTGGAAAGCTTTTCTACGTAGCTGAATATTTTATTTTCAGAAGAGTTTGTCAATCTTTACTGTCTGTCCTACTGACAAGGGTCGTCTTTTCCTTGACAACTTGGCAAAGTGCACATTATTGCATTACAAGATCATCGGATGTCTCGTGCGCTTGTGATAAACAGGGCTCCTTGCCCTCTTCACTTGGAGTCTTTCACCCCCTTCCCAGTTTTATACTAGTCAAAAGATTTACTTCTCTTCTAAAAAATAATATATAAATAAATACATTGCAAGTCACAAACATTAAATACTTAATTTGAACCGGCAGAAAGACCAGCTACCGGAATTCTACAGTGGTCTGTTAGCTCATATGTCTCTGCGTCTGCATATTGAAGGAAACAGCAGAAATAATACTTTACAATTTGATGAACAACATATGACACAGAACCTCTAAACTCACAAAAAAGCGTTACAAACTGAGGAGAATACCTGCCATATAGAATTCTGCCCTCTCCAAGAAAAAAACCCCTACACACTCCTTACTTTCACTGATACAGAACTGTCATCATTAAGGCTTGATCTATAAATAAATTGGATTAAATCACAAAGGTCTTAACTGAAGTTTGGGTGATAAAAAGGGATGTTTTGTGAGTACACTGGATGTCAAAACTGAACAGATGATACTGTGCTATCTGCTTTTAGGCAGAATCCTCCCTTGATTTCAACTATTACCTTTGCTTACAGCTGGCACCATAATGGCTTATAATAATTTAAGCACATTTCTTTCTGGAGCAAAATATAACATCACTCTCCATTTCATCATTCACAGAGGAGGAGCCCATGAACCTAATTTAAACTGGAAAGAGAGAAGAAAGAGAGGGAAAAAAAGGCACATTTGATTCTCACAGTTTATAGAATTATCTCAATGTAAGCTGCAGATAGGAATGTTATCTCTGAAAATCACAAGAAGCAATAATATTGTTGGAATAAGCAAATAAAAAGGCCGTACTTTCAACAGGCACGCAAATAAGAAGACTGTGCTTTCAACAGGCCCAAGAGCAAAGTAATATCAAGTTTGAAAATATGCCTTAATTTCAAAAAAATGCGTGAAACTTATAAGTATCGGTCTCACGATAAAGTAATGTGTACGCCTACTACATAACCAATAATACCCATTCCTGCAAATCAGATTCTTCACCCAACAAACACCACATACTAAAGTTAATGCTCCACTGACACTGCCTATCATTTCTTTCCCATAAAGATACAGAAAGAACAGGGAAGCATTCTAGTCTAAAAGATGCCACAAGTGTTATATCTAGTCCTTTTCACTGAAAACTCACCTTAATTTCTGCCTGTGAGTGCTTGGGAGAGAATATCTTTCGACATTTCAGACTGCTACATTTTCCCTTTTCGCAGAGCTTTTCAATCACCCCTATTCGATCACCCCAGCTATGACACATTCCCAGTTCAGCGGGGATGCCTGCCTGTTATAAATTACTCTCATAAACCAGCTATTTCTGCTGCTTCCCCTGGCATCGCACCCAAGGTGAGGCTCAAGCAAGCAACGCTCGGCATCCACATGTACAAGCTCTGAGCCGGACAGGGGGAAGCAGACAGTAACCCATCCATGTTCTACGGCGCTCGGCATTTGCCTTCTGCAAGCTGCCTTTGCGAAGACGACCAGCACAGGTAGGTTTGGATACACCACCTTGTTTCCTAATGCCAATGAGCTGCTTCGTGTACCCGCAATCTGCCTTAAAAAGCAGAGGCATAAGCAATAGCGTGGAAAAGTCTGTTTTCTGCACAGAAATATCCTGGGGTACTTTATCACTGGACAATGCTACAGAGCTAGTTCTTAAAGTGACCGGTAAAGCCATCTCTCCTGTGTTCAGCTGCTGATACTCTGGAAAACCTCAGCTGTAGTTTTAAATACCTTCCGGTGCTGTTTCAGTTTTCGCAAGCAAAAGCTGTTTTAACATCTATGCAAAAGAACTGAACAAAAGGAGGGAAAAAATGAGGGAACTGCGGAGAGGAAAGAGCAGAGAGAGTAAAATACAGGAGCAAAGCTGAGATGGGGAGGGAGGGATTCGAAAAAGAAGTTTAAAGAAAAATGGTGACAGATAAAAGGAAAAGGAACTAAGGAAGGGAAATCAGCAATGTTAACTAACTTGTGATGGAACACATGGACATACCTTCTTATCTTCTAATATCTGATCATGTTTTCCAAGCAACATACCCATCACTTTTCTTTTGAAAGCGTATGCATAAGTGAAAGACATGCAGAGGAGAGAGGTGCACAAGGCAGCTTCTCATTAGCTGTAAACAGCAGTGAGAACACAGAATTTCAAGTACCTGAGACCAAAACCTTTCCATGGCCAAAGAACCAAAACATGTGTCTGACAGCCACATCTACAGGCTAAACGGCCAGGGAAAGAAGAAACTTTTAACGAAACATATTACCAGTCACTGTGATTATATGAGGCATGAATGGCCCACAATGGAAAAACTCAATTCTAAGCGCAAGTATCCTGCTGTTCATTTTTGTTCTTTCTCACTGGATTTAAGGAAAATATGCTGTGTTTCCAGGCAATGTGGGACAAAGACGCTTGGGTTTTTAAACTTTATCTTGTGCACACTACATCTGAATGTTATCACCTCCCTTAATCACCTTCTGATGTCTGATAGTGCCCCTTTAACCTTCGTTACTCAATTACTGAACAAGTTTTCTCATTGTTACTCTCTTTTGAAGGAAGAGTTGTGCCTCTTTTCAAGCTGATAAGAGACACATAAATATTCACTCCCAGCAAACATTTAATAGTAAAGTGTCTTGAGCAAACTACCAGAGTCTAAAGGTAGGAAGCTGTGGTTAACTTCTCTGCTATCTTAACCCTTTAGTCAATCCACCAGAACAAACAGAGAGAAGATGGATGCTCTTTTTTACCAATGAAGCAGAAGTAATTGTTCTCTAAAAGAATGGACTTTATAACATGCTTTATAACACAGCAAATCAATCAAATGATTGTAAGCAAAATACCTACCCATTTTCTGGGCCGGCCTCTGGGTCGCTTTTCACCAGTGGCTTCTGCTTTCTGTAAAGGGAAAAGAAACACAACATATTTTATACCTCAGCATTATTTAACAGCCTCGGTAACTAGGAACTCTTTTCCTGTAACATTATCCATAATTATATCTCTTGGGTGGCACCGGGCTCCCCCTCCCGCCCTATGGATTTTCTGGTGGAATGTGATTACATTGGGTTTTCTGACGTTTCCTAGCCAGCGTGGCCAGGGGATGCCTCGCCTGCGCCCAAGGGTGCCCCCAGCCCACACTGTGGCCAGGGGCACAGAGGAGCGTGCCCACAGACACCCAGCTGCCCAGTGCCAGTGCCCAGTGTACAGCCTGGGGTGCCCCGGCCCCCACCAGCCATCGGGCGTGCAGGCTGTGGATGGGGGCACAGGGCAGTTTGGGAACCTGAGAACCCCCAATAACATCCCATCTAGTCTTCTACATGCTGACAAAAATTACCTGAAGACACCAAATGAAAAATACACCCTGCTTCAAGCCTGAACAAAGCAGTTTACAGCAGCCACAATTCCTTCTTTCAGTGTCATGATGTTCATGCATGAAATGGATTTGAACAGACTATCACCATGAACATGTGTCTGTTCATATTGGGAGATGACTTCTCTACTTCATGTGAAGTTTTCCAGGTAAAAGCACATCCTCAAGGTCTAAGCAAACCTTTCACTAGTCCAAAAGACACCTTCCCTTTTCAGGTTTAAGGAAACAGCGTGGAAGGTGCCCTAGAAGTGACAGCTATATTTATGTAAACCCAGCAGCTGGTCCTGGAGCTCAGCTTTAAGGAAATATGGGATTTCTTACAGACTCTTCCATTAATGCACTGCATGACAGCATGACACTGCGAATACTATTTTTTATGTTCTACACTAAAATACAGGCTTTAAAATGAAAATTGCAGGTTGTTTTCTCTACATAGGCTCTGCCATCCATACATGATAATCAGGTAAATAATCCTGTCCTGGTGAGTGTTGAGGATTTTGCCACCAGCTTTAGTAAGAGCTGGACTTTTGCTGCATGCAAAGTCCCCAAGAATGCAGGTTTTTTTAGTACACATTCTGCAAATGTGCTTCCACATTTCCATTAATTGCTTTTTCTCTGGTTAACTTTATGTGCATTTGATTTGCCCGTAGAAATCAACTGTGTCATTAAATGAATCACTTGCTGGTCAATCTCTGTAACATATACTGTAACCTAATGCTGTGTAAAGTGGATCCCTCTAAAAGAGAACTTGAGCTAAGGAAGTAGTGGAGGAATCTCTGCAAAAAACCTGCTCTGTGAGTTAAATGCAATTACTTTGAAATAAATATCTCACTGAGAAGAAAGCTGTGAAAAATAAAATTCACACTCCTAAAGGGCAAAATTATCACTCAGACCTGTTAAAAGAGTAAACTTGCTCTTTAATCGTTTATACCAGTGTTACATGTAAGGTGAAACCCTCTTATGAGAATACTTGTTAAAGTGCATTTACTGTGTATTGTAGCTGTCTATTTCAGAGTTTTGTTTCCTTTTAAATGTTCATTTCTTTACACCCTATAACCTGAAGGATGCAAAAAAAGATGTGGTTTAGTTTTGACAAGCTGTAGCCCCCTGCATTTATGTTTACTTCATGAAACCCCGGGCACAAATCTTAAAAGAAAATACTGGTTAAAATTGTTCTTAACAAATCAACACCTGACATGTTATGAAAGCACAAATGCCATTTATTTTCCTCTGTATTTTACCGCATCTGAAGGAAAGGCCCTTTTCCAAAACTCTATGAAAAATAATTAACTTTTTGGAAACGAAAACTACTTCGGTCTCACAATTAAAGTTCCTACCAACCTGACACAAATGGTAAGTTTAACCACAGCGTATAATCCAGTTTGATGGGAAAGAGAACATGAGCGATTTCTTTGAATAACTAATCTTTGCTTCCTGCCATAAACTGTCACGCAGCATGGCCGCTTGCCATGAACAATGCTGCGCTTTACCCCCGAGGAAGGTCCACGTCAGAAGTGGCTAGTGTTCCTGCTGGCTAGTTTGGATATCAGTTTGTCAAGTGCTTGGGGACCCTTCAAATTGAAAGGCGCTATATTGCTGCTGTATATGATTTCCACCTCATGTTAGAAGAAAAACATTTCTATAGTTCTTATCAAAACCAAATCTTTCCCAGAGGTGAGCTGAGCAAACAGCGGGGCATGCCAGAGACGATGTTTTGGTACGGAGCGATTCTGTAAGTAAATAGGAAGGTTTCCACAGACTAAACTGCAGAAAAATGAAGGACAAGAACCTCCAAAGCGGATGGTTTTATCTCCATTCCAAGGGAAGAGAAAGACAAAACACTTCTGGAACAACCAAAAAGGAGTAGTGGGAGTCCAGTGGTGATAATAGAGACATGAAGTTCAGGAAAATATTCCTACCTCTTCCCCTCTGGATTTCTTCTTGTTGCATTTTGCAAACCTAGCCCGTATTTCACCAACAGCACAAGATTCTCTTTTAATTTAAGAGCTCGAAGGAATGTTTTATTGCATATCAGACAAATAATTCAATGTTTCTCCATGTAATTTTCAAGCAATTAATAGAAAAGGAACATGCAAGTGCCAAAGCATTGTTTTTCCTTGGAAACAGGTATTTGCATAATCAGAGACATGCCAGTTTGCTGGCTCTTCGCTTTAATTGAAGGGTTGCCTCTGAAGCTAGGAACAAATCCAGAGAGAGCCTCAAGCCACCCAGAGGCGACACGGATTCTCATCTGGGCAGCAACGCACATGTCCCCAGCCACCCTACACACAGCAGCACGTACCTGCTTAGTCTGAAAGGAAGCTGCCGCCTTTTTCCGCTAAGATGCTTTTTGAAATTGAGATGTCTTTGGCCAGGGTTTTCTTAACATTTGGCGCTACACTCTGAGGCATGATCTTGCTCTATACAGCTAAGACACGCAATCACCAAACTTCAAGGAGTGTCGGGTATGTTATCAAACACAAGTTTATGATATGTCAACAAAAATTATGAAGTTTCTTATAACCAATAATCTGAATACATCATTTTTGCTACGTCACATTCTAAAAACAGAACTAGATTTACTTGCTTTTAAGTGCATGATCTATATGGGAAATGTTTGGGGTTTTTTATCCCAGGTGAGAAAGATGGCCATTCCAGTCGCTGCCGCCTGGAAGAGAGCTAACAGTCCCCAGGCAGATTTGCAATTCACCTAAGCCCTGTACCACAAGGCCATCAAACCCTGCTTCCAAACAGTTGCTGTCAGCCACCCCAGGGCTTGACTGCCCATCACCTCTGCCTCCTTGTTGCATAGATATGCCATGCCCAGACAGAAACTGAGGCTGTACTACTGAAAGCAATTAACAAGACAAGACAAGTATAAATAATTGAACAGCTATAAAGTGCTCTTTGAGCATCTATCTATGGTCAAGGAAGATCTCAAATGCAACAGAATCCAAATTTGGAGAAATCTATCCACTTTGAAAAATGATCTGCTGGAGACCTCAGATAAAATGTGTCAGAGCTGTATGTCAGGTGAAATAACCGGGAGTTCTCAGGAGAAAGATCACTGATGCCAAACTGTGTCAAAAGACCTTGCCCAGGAATGTGTCCCTCTCCTAAAAAAAGTTATTTTGTTAAAAAAAAAACCCAAACAGCTCTTAAAAGAAACTCAGGCTTTGGCTAGATACAAAAATATCACACTTCCCATGTCCTGTTTTACCCATTTTAATTTTAAACAGGAGTCAGTGTTCTCCTGCTTCTCCCATCTTGCTCAAAATGCCTGATTTTGAGGTCTCTTATTTTTTAGGTACAATAACCACGCTACAGTCACTTGATAAATCTGATCTTGTTTTCCCTTTAAGCCCGTAATGACTGGTGGTGGTGAGAATGAATGAAGCATGGAGAAGTCAAATAGATTTTCACGAACCAATCTAGGGCAGAGTCCTGGTCACATGCGCCTTTTTTTTTTTACCTTTGAACTGCTTAACTCAGGGACATGCCTTCCTACATACCAAACTCTGGCCGTGTAATGCACAGACAGTGGTAAGTGTAGTCACACACAGCCCCACAAGTTCTGGTTTTCAGAGGATGATATTTCAAGGTATTTTCAGTGAATTTCACTACATCCATAACTACAGCAAAACTCAAATATTTTAATTGAAGGTGAATTTTACTAAAGAGGATTTACTTTTGGATATTCCTGGGGTATCCCTTGACATTTTCTTTTGAGATAAACACGTAGTAGCTACTACTCCTTTTTTTTAACCTCACAGTTGTGTTTCCTCTTTCCAAACAGGAGAGTATTTATGCCTATACAGTATTTTTGTCAAGCCCAACTACAGGCGCTAAACAAAGAAAAGCCCTTGAATGCCTAAGGGAAATGAGATGGGTTGGGAACACAGCTCAGCCTAACAAATAAAACTCAACCACAGAACACCCAGGAAACTCAAAAGGAACATCCCTACTAGGATCTTCCCGCAAAACTAGTCCTTCTTTAAAAAAAAAAAAAATCTTGACTTTTTTGCTAATTTTTTACAAATATTTTAAATGAATAACAGAATGACTTGTTTAAAGACGCAGGCTTCAGTAACAGCCTAATTGTGGGGACTCAAGTACAAGGTGATTAAGAGCCTTTTTGTGTCTATCTCTTCTCATCTGCTAACATGTTGTGTTCCTTCTGTTTGTGAAAATTATACAACTGAGAAATGGTTTGGTTTTCTGTAAAATGCAGGTTACCTTTTGTGTTCAGTTTATAACAAGATAGGCATGTGTGATATGCAAGGCTTTTTAAAAAAATGCATATTACCTAAAATTAGAGTAATTGCCACATTATTAGCTGTCCAATTGGTCTTGCAACATTCTGTATGCATTGTCAAGTTTCACATTGCTAATTTCCTAACAAGCACAGTTTGTTTTCAGATGCCCCAAGGCCAGTTTACTAAGACCAAACACAGACTCTGAAAGCTAAAAAAAAAAAAAAAAAAAAAAAAATTAAAAAAAAATATCCCATGAACCAAGAAATTTTAATTACACAACACAACCATGATTCCAGGGTAAATTTTCCCTCAACTGATTTAAGGGTACTTCCTTTTTGATGTGTAACAAAACAAAGTCCCAGTTCTGGAGTATTTTTAACTCACTGCCAGTTTGTGCAATACATTTTTAATTGTGATGTGTAATGGTTTGCAAGAGAACACCCAATCAATTAATCATGAGTGCCTTCTCATGGCTGCTCGGTGGGTTCTCCTGGCCGACGTTTATCTTACATGTTGTGAACACTCTAATACATTTCAATGAGCTCCCTTTGAAAAACACAGGCCACACACTATTCTTTAGAAATTCCAGCAATTTCCAGTTGCGTGTATAGTACCCAAGTTCACATGTAGAGGGGCTTACACTAAGTTAGCCAGCTCTCTTTCTGAGACTTGAGACAGGCTGTAGAAAGCCTTAAATAAATATATGTATGCATATGTATGTGTAAATATGTTTACCACAAAATCAAATATATAGCTCACTCTTTTAAGAGGTGACACCCTCACGACCAAATGAAGCTTTCTTACAGCGCCAAAACCTTTCCATTCATATTACTGTCAGAAAAACTATCGGAATTAATATTACATAAAAAGATACTTTGAGATGCCTGGTGAGAAGCCGAGCCATTTTAGAGAGGGTTAATTATCAATTTGGAAAAACAGCTAAAATATTTATTTGAAACGTGATCTCAGTGACTTTCTTCCAAATAAAGCTTTATAAGTGTTCCATGTTTTAGAGGATTTATCAAACATTTATATATTTTATCTATAAACCTAGAAACAAATAAGACTTGTAATTGCACGCCCCTCAAAGATTATTTTTTAATGATAAAAAAGACATGTGGCCTTTGGTCAATTTTTTGTATTACCAGCACCCAAAAGGGTTTGCTTTAATTAGAGCAGTAACCTGATGCATTCTGAAAATCAAAACATTACAATGAAATTGCTCAGTTCGTAAATTAGATTAAAAAAAACAACTATATGCACCAGAATAATTTGGAAAGCTCTTCATTTGATATACCTTATTTTCCATTTATACTGATTTTCAAATCACTCATATAAATGAAATAATGTTAATATTTCTTTTAGAAATTTCTTTTTAAAACACATTTCTATGAATTACTTAAAATTTAATCTTATTACAAATATTTCTCCTAGGAAAGCCAACACTCCTAAGAGTAATATTTAAAATACTAAAGTTCACATTTGGACTTGCCACACTAATAAAAAACTGCTCTCTCCCTTTTGAAGAGTGAAATTTAAACTATTTTAAAGTGAATCTGAGGAACAATTTTACTATATAAAGAAAAAAATCAACATTTTAAGCTCCCTAGGTCACAGAGTGGCTTTGATACATTTTAAATACTAAACCTGTAAAGCATTTTTAACTAATTCATGAACTTATTGACAGAATATACTGCTTTTTTCCAGCTCAGAAAGTAAAATACTTTAAATTTAAAGAGAGTTGGAAAACATCCCTCAAATAAATGTTGAAAACACTTATAACAAAACAGACGTGAAACCATAGTCACCCCCTAATAATTTAATATTTATCAGTAGTTGCTATAGTAATTTATAACACTGAAAACTATCAAACTTAATATGGTCAGTACCACAGGCATATTGAAAAATGAACCATAATTAGATGAGGCCACAAATATCTTCCACACACATTTTGTCACAGATCTACTTAAAAGATACTGATACACTTAAGCACTACAGTTCACTACCAGATTTTGTAAGCTTTTGTTTCCAATTTAGTACCTGTAAATTAGTGCTAACTGCTGTGTAACCATCAACATAAACAAAACTCCTGTATTTATTTTCAAGCCCATACACAACTGTTTGCCTTCACTGAAATAATTCATACATAAAGGTTATTATTTGCTTTGATAGCACAGTTTTCTAATGTTGAGCTTTCCCCAATTCAAATAAAATTAAGTCTCATTTTCACATTGCATTTGTGATGTAAAGTCCATGCACAAAATGCAGTGACTTCAGGGAGCTTCTCTTATAGCTAAATCCATGACCAAGCAGTGGTAGTGGTTCACAAGACTAATAGCACTTCAAGTAAAAGGCTCTTAGAAACTGATTACTAAACAAGATATAGTAGGCTTTTACTGAAACTCACAGTTTACTTTACCATCTCATTTTAAAGCTGTAAATTTCAATATATGCACTTATTTCAATCAACACATAATTGGATTTACTTCTAATTAACCTATGTTTGACAAAACACTTAGCTTTAATATACAGATTTGGTCTGCACTAGTAACGATTGTAAGTGGGCAAGAAATTAATCCTCCTTTTCCAAAAATCTTAATCGAGAAAATTATATCCTTAATATTGATTTCCTTACTAGATACAGGAGATCTCAGTAAATACATCAAATACATCACATTATTTCACTATTCTGTACACTATTCAAAAAGCAAGCTGCCCTTATAGGTTCTGTACCTAGGGTCTTCATGCAGCATGTTAATTCTGATCTTAAAAATGAAAAATACAGGCTCTGAGTAGCTTCCATTATTACAAGGTTTCCGACCCCTCAGTTCACAGCCCAAATGACTGGATTTTTTGCTACCAGTTGATGAAAAAACAGCATTAGGAACTCTCTCTCTTTAATAATCTCACCTTCTGAGCTGCTTTAGAGGGACTCTTGTTTTTGCTTCCTTTGGGTCTTCCTCTTGGTCTTTTAGGAGATGGTTCACCAGTTGGTTCCTAAATACAGGAAAACACGCTATTGTGGCAAGAGGCTACAACTAACCCAGAAGTTCTGAAGGATAAACTACAACTAAGAAGTTACTTAAAACATATGAATTAACAGTATAAATACATAACAGTATATTTAAAATGCAACAGGAAAAAATAAACAACTCGAGGTAAAGAAAAAAAATTTTGCACAATAAAAGACTTTAACTTCCCTTGTAATTGCACAAAAAAAAACTTTGAAAAGTTTGCATATTCTAGCATGTAAGTTATAGTAGCAAACACATTTTTAAAAGAAGATAGCTATGCTTTCCCTCATGTAAGAATGATTATTCAAAAAAATAATACAATTACCCACTTAATTTCAATTGCATTTCATTATACCAAGATATAATCATCATATGCAGTTTCTAGCACAAACTTTTTGGGGAAAAAAAGAAGTTAACTACTGGGAAACTGTAAAGGAAGCTTAGACTATTTTCTCTCTCAAGAGCACAAATATTTTGGGGGGATTTTTTTCTGTTGTTCTGATCGGCATTATATTCACACCTATTCTAAACATAATTGGTTTGTATTAAAATGCAAATGCAAACTTTTCTTCAAATAAAGCACTAGCCTCGATCCTCGATGAAAGAAAATATCTGAAACAAAAACTCTGAAATGACTCGACAGGAACACTGATTATTTAGTAATTTTCTTAACTAGTTCCTCTGCCTGACAGTAAATAACCAGACCTTAAAAATGGGTATGAATTACTAAGAGTTTGGATTCCAAATATTTATTCAGTGAATCATAAATACTATAAAACTCTTCTAGTCTTAAATATTATACATTTCATTCAGCTTACAGGATGTGGTAAAACTAATTAAATGCAGTTTGTTAACTTAAACCAGCTTAAAACCCTTCAGCTTTTTAATTCCCGGGTAGGTTAAGGGGAGGCAGGAGAGGGGGACTCCCCAACTGCTCCAGCGGTTAGTGGCCAGCCTCGCAGGCACTGCACATCTGGGCTGGACACGTTTAAGGAGACGCACTTTTCTTTCTCTTCCCATACATTCAAACGCTGTAGGAGGCGGGGGGGGGGGGAAAAAAAAAAAAAAAAAAAAGAAAACCCAAAAAAGGAAGCCCCGGCTCAAGCTCGCAGGGCTGATGCCGATTGCTGGGGCTGGGCGAGGGCAGCCCCCGGAGGGTCGAGCCCGCAGCCGCCCCGGAGAAAGAAGTGTCACTGAGGGCAGAGCGGGAAACCCGAGGGGCTCCGCTTTTATGGCTCTCCAAAAAGCACTTTCTGTGCAATTTTCAAGAGCGCATCGGGGGGAAGAAAGGGGGGAGG